GTGCTTGCCGCAAAACAACATATTATTATGTGTGTGTGTGCGTGTATGTGTGACTGTGGCTGTGATTAAATGTGTTCGGAATTTCATGACGTGGGCAAATCAAACACGAAGAGTTCCTTCCTTCACTAAGCTCGTAAGTTATACCGATTTGCTCTTAATTTTAAGAAGATTTATTTTATTGATTAATTACCCGTGCTTTATGAAATAATATTCAAAGGTATTGTGTATCAGTGAATAAATAATTATAATATAGCATCTCACACTATTTTATTGTATTGTTTTTAAATAGTGTGGATCAAAGCGGAGAGTAGGTAAGCGCCGAGTCATCTATGCGTGTAATAGGTACCTACAGGCGGCCGCCGGTCGTCGCCCCGACCGGCGCTGATCTCGACTGAAGGCATAATGAAGGCATTCATTAATTTCCGTTTTTTTAGTAGTGCTTATTTTAAGTTGCTTTATAACTTCTATGTAGAAGTGTTTAAAATGAATAATTACTCATAAGGAAGAAATGACAAAAAAATAACCAAATAAAAAATTAAAAAACGAAAAAAATTATTTTAAAAAATCCGAAAAAAATCAGGCATACTCTATACACGTAACCCATCAATCTCACGAAGTTTCATAGAAACATTCAATTTCACCCTGTATATTGATGATTTGGTGACGGGTTTTGAGAGTCTGGAGACCGCTAAAAAGGCTAAATCAGAAGTTATCGACCTGCTTCAGAGAGGACATTTCGAACTTCGCAAATGGGCGAGCAACGAACCGAAACTTCTTGAGGATTTGCCACCGGAACATTGTTTGACTAGTCCAGTGTCTCTCGATACCGATGAAAATAGCTTTTTGAAGGTTTTAGGTCTAAGGTGGGACCCTTGGAGTGACTCTTTTCTCTTTGCAGTAAAACCACGGTACGTAAAGTGCACCAAACGTAATATCCTGAGTGAAGTGGCTCGCATTTTCGACCCTTTAGGTTTTCTTTCGCCCCTTACCTTGATTGCTAAGGTCTTGGTTCAACGCCTATGGGTTCTTAATGTGGGCTGGGACGAGGACCCGCCTACCGATGTTGTACGCTTCTGGAATCGTTATCTGGACCAGATTCATCTCTTAGAGACTCTTAAAATTCCCCGTTGCGTGTCTGTCGTATCCATTATATCGTGTGAGCTCCATGGTTTTTCTGACAGCTCAGAAACCGGTTACGGCGCTGTAATTTATTTCGGATTAGTCAATGTATCCGGTGAAGTAAGAGTGTTTTTCCTCTGTTCGAAGGCGCGTGTAGCTCCAACGAAATCAACCTCTCTGCCACGCCTCGAGCTATGTGCAGCAGTGCTCTTAATTGATTTATTAAAGTTTGTACATAACTCATATTCGCATAAGTTTTCTATTACTCAGGTCTATGCGTGGTCTGACTCGATGGTTGTTCTTGCCTGGCTTCGTTCACATCCTTCTCAGTGGCGGACATTTGTCGCCAATCGAGTCGCTTACATACAGGAAGTCCTTCCCATCGCAAAATGGAACCATGTTTCTTCTGAGGATAATCCCGCCGATATCGCTTCCCGCGGACAGCTTCATAAACTTCGTAAACAATACTCTATGGTGGGCGGGGCCCTCCTGGCTTTTAGAATCTTCCGATCGCTGGCCTCAGCAGATTAATCTTTCCGAGGAAGAAGATATGCTCGGAGAGGAAGCCTCCACGCGCTCTGTTAATCCATGATAATGCCCAGACTGACCAAATATCGATATTCGATACTCTTCTTCGACGTTATTCATGTATTCGAAAAATACAACGCATTCTATGTTGGTGGTTAAGATATGCCTCTTTCCTTCGTAATCAGCGTTCGTGTTGCTCTGATCTTTTCCTTACTCGTACAGAGCTTCATAGTGCTTTAATGATGTATGTCAAACATGTTCAATCTTTTGCCTTCGTAACTGAAATTCGACAGTTGAAAGAAGGACACATTCTTTCAAAACAAATGCGTAAACTTAATCCGTTTCTAGACCCCTCTAGAGTTCTCAGGGTGGGCGGTCGCTTAGCCAGATCTGGTCTCGAGTTTGAACATAAGCATCCCGCTTTGATTCCGCGTGATTCTAGATTCACATATCTCATTATCGAAGCGTTTCATCGTGAAAACTGTCACGCCGGTGTTAATACAATGCAGGTTCTTTTAAACCAACAATTTTGGATTATATCTGCCAAAAGAGCTATACGTCATTGCTTGTCCAAATGTGTGTCATGCTATAAAACAAAACCTGTGCCTCTTGAACCGTATATGAGCGATTTGCCTGCAATCCGCATTAATCAAGTCAAACCTTTCTCAGTTGTCGGTACTGATTATGGCGGTCCGTTTCGTATAAAACTTGGAAAGCATCGTGGTGCTAAATTAGGTAAAGCATATTTATGTCTTTTCGTTTGCCTCACCACCAAGGCTATTCACCTAGAGGCTGTTTCCGATCTCTCATCTGATGGTTTTATAGCAGCTCTTCGCCGTTTCGTTGGTCGGCGCGGCAGAGTCAGTATAATTCATTCCGACTGCGGCACCAACTATGTAGGTGCAAGCAATCATCTCCAGCGTTTTATGCAGAATGCGGCTCATAAGGAAAACATCGAATTTCGTTTCAATCCTCCTTCGAGTCCCCACTTCGGCGGAGTGTGGGAAATCCAAATTAAATCTGTTAAATCTCATCTGTATCGTATCATAGGCGAGCAATCATTAACTTTCGAAGAATTAACCACACTTTTTGTTCAGATAGAATCCCTGCTAAATTCGAGACCACTTTATCCACTCAGCTCTGATCCGAACGATTTAAGTGTACTAACGCCCGGTCACTTTCTTACGATGGAACCGTTAACTGCGATTCCTGACGAAGACTACTCTGCTTTAAATATCAGTCGCTTAGGTAGGTGACAATTGCTTCAACGTTTTCAACAAGACTTTTGGAAGCGTTGGAAGCATGAGTACCTCCAGTCTCTCACTGTACGAGCTAAGTGGACTAAGTACGCAAAACCGTTAGAAGTGGGATCCGTAGTTATTCTTAAAACCGATAATACGTTACCATTGCATTGGCCTTTGGCCCGAGTAGAGGTGTTACATACTAGTCCTGATGGAATCGTTCGTATAGCTACCGTTAAAACTATCGATGGCTCTCGTCTTACGAGACCTTTGGTAAAGCTTTGTCCTTTACCTAACCAATCTGACTAATGCGCTGTAGTTATTAAACCTAAATAATTATAAATAGTTTTAGTTTAGAAATTAGTTCATATGCCTTTCGTAATAAAATCTTAATTCTAAATTTTCGTATAAATCGTTTTATTCTATATCGAAAAATACTTTAACGTATTTTTGGTGGGCGGAATGTTCCGTTATCACTTAATCGTGGTTACATATTTATTACTTTAAATGTGGGTAGGTTCGCAACGAGAACGATGCATCTGCGAATGTGGTTTTTTACTAGCCTAACGCAGACAGTTAGCTACTGATCACGCGAGAGGACCTACGTCACTCCGTTCCGCGCCCGCGCACTCGCTAACATCATATAACCATTATACTTACGTGCGGTATACCAAACAAGTGGAATTCGTCAACAATAAACTGTGAATTTCTTCTGTGACTGTGTGTGCTGTTAATGTGCCCCTCTAGCTAGAAGAATACGCGGACCACAAGCTTGCGACAAAGGTTTCAAACGTGAGTACGTTACGCTTTTAGCAAACCCATTCGTAGTTGTGTATTAATCGTTATCTCGTTGCAGCCCCTTTTCAATCGTTTTAATTACATATATCGGCTGCCCCCAATATGTATTTGCAATAACAATACAGGTGTTATAGAAAAACATAATGCAGGCAGGAAAACAGATATATCTAAGGAAGGAAAGAGAGAGGATGAAGTAAAAAAAAATCAACATAATAGTTGGGATAGGAAATAACTCCTAACTTGATCCCTAAACGAGTTCAGAGTGCGAGCCTTTCGGATAGTTTCGGGCAATGAGTTCCATAGACGTACAGAATGCACAGAGAAAGAATAGGAAAAGAAATCAGTAGAATGACTTAGAATTTCAAGAGATAGGTTAGAAGAAGGTCGCAAAGTGCGCTGTGAAGTGGAAGAGAGAAACAAGAAGCATTCTTTTAAGTAATGAGGAAAAGTAGGTAAGAAAAGTACGCAGTAAAGAAGCGTAAGAGTGTGCAAGTCCCTGCGCCTGCGAATAGGGAGCCAGTTATGTTTAAAACAGAAGTGTGAAACGTGGTCATATTTACGAAGGTTGAAAATAAATCGGATATATGTATAAGTACTGCAGACGCTCTAGCTTATTTAAGAGTTCCTCAGAAAGATCCGTGTAACAGGCATCAGCGTAGTCAATGATAGACAGTAAAAGAGTCTGCGCCAAAGTTATTTTGGTAGTAGTCGGCAAAAAGTTACGTAATCGGTTGAGCGAGTTGTATGCAAGGGCGGATCCAGCTTTGGCACCAGGGGGGGGGGGTCATATAGCTAGCTTTGGCGCCAGGGGGGGGTCATATAGTCGTGGTATATTAAATATTGAAAGTACTTAAATAAAATCCCCCTGGGTTTGGTCCATCTGTACCCAGCCCAGGGGGGGGTCATGACCCCTATGACCCCCCCCCCCCTGGATCCGCCCTTGGTTGTATGCAGCAAAAATTTTCTTTCTGACCGCCTCCACCTGAGGTCTCCAAGAAAAACACTGATCAAAGACAACATCAAGATTTTTAACAATGCTTGACCAAGGAATAATAGTTCCATCAAAAGTAATAGGAGATAGATGTTCAATATAAATCCGGGCGGGCAGCTGCCAATTATTATAGTTTGTGTTTGTTTAATACAAACTACCTGACATTTGACGCGCAACGAGATCAAATTGAACTATTCGAATTCGATAATGGTTCATTCTAAGGATATAGGTAGGGTGGGGTAATGTATTGCGCCTCGTATAAAAAAGGAAGTTTTTTTAATCTTGTTTTAAACATCTTATTATAATGTTGATTAGGAACTTACCGGTGTTTTGTTTCTCATGAGCAAGAAGAACCGACATGATGTCATCGTTCTTTTCTTTGCCCGTGCTCTTGACGTTGCTGGCGTTACTTGCTGCTTTCTCGAGAGCTGCGTCAGTGGAATGCACGCTGTCGCTCTGATATTTCAGGAAAACAATGTGAATTTGACTAACTAATTTGGGGCTAGGGTAATTGCTGTGATTGTTAGGAAGTTCTATTTATTTATCATGAAGTAAAACTATTTTTTAAGGGGTAGATTTAAAATGCGTTTTTAAGATTTTTTTATAAGTATAGCTCGACGTTTGGCACACTTTTCAGGATGTGTTATCTGAGAATATATTTTTTAAATAAGAAACGTCGAGTGTTTTTTTTATAGATAGGTCCGACAAATCACTCCACCCCACCTGATGTTAGGTGACGGTGAAGTCCAGACTTGAAGATGGTACAGCAGTTCTACATGCCACACCAGTCATCTCACCTTGCCGGCCTGCATGTTGCTTCTTCACGCTTCTTTTAAAGGATCCCAGGTTGTAAGAAGGAGGGAACAAGTGAGCAGGCAAAGCATTCCATTTAAGAATAGTGCGACAAAGAAATATGTCACCAAATTTCTTTGTACGCGTTGGAATTGTGGCCTCAGTTAGACGGTGACAAAGTGGGCCAGCGCGCGTGGTCCATTGAAGCAAAGGGGAAGGTGGAATAAGTAATGTAAAAAAGGAAGAAAAACGCATTTAAAACCCGTTAAAAAGTAATATTGTTTAACGTGCGTAGTGTGCGTGACAACATAAGAAACAAATATGATTCATCATGTTCATAGCTTACCATCGTACCATCCGGCATCCTTGTTTATATGCATATGACTAGTTGTTCCCCTTTTAGCTTGGTAGGTGTAGGTTTGCTTTTGAGTTGTCTTTCTCTCTGATATTGATGTCTATGCGAGTCTCTTCCATCGCCAGCCGCTGGTTGCGAGTCAGACTAACGTTTACGAGTAATTACGTGGAGTATTCTACTTACCTGGTCGTTTGTGACGATAGTGCTTTCCACCACCCATACAGGCCGTTCTTTCCGCTGTGCAGAGGCGTTGTTTGCATTATCGTTCTCTCCAATAGTGATATCGACGCGTGTCTCTTCCACAGCGATTTCTAGGTTGCGAGTCGCTTCATGGTTGCGAGTCAGATTAACGTTTACGAGTAATTACGGGAAGTATTCTACTTACCTGGTCGTTTGTGACGATAGTGCTTTCCACCATCCATACAGGCCGTTCTTTTCGCTGTGCAGCGGCGTCGTTTGCATTATCGTTCTCTCCAATAGTGACGTCGACGCGTGTCTCTTCCACAGCGAGTCCTAGGTTGCGAGTCGCTTCACCCGACCATTGCTCGCCGGAAGGCCGCAATGCCGGTTGTTTCATTGTTAATCTGGGAGATGAGAACGTTAGCTTTGTTTAGAGTTATGTGTACATACGTTCATTCAAAGTAAGTTTTTATAAAGTAAAAGGATACCAAAGATAGCGGATTATCTGATTAACTTGGAGCTCTTAGGCGGGGGATGGTCAAACAAGAAATCACATAACTTTAATTTATACCTTGCTTGATGATCACCTACTCCCAGTATCTGTCCGATACTGGGTTTGGCGAACGGGTTAGGGAGTAGCGCAAGTCGCAAGGATCCCCTAATCAAGGCCAGAGGACTATCATTCACGAGGTTGCTGCCCGTTTTTGGTCAAATACCTTTTGTAATTTACGTAACAGAAACCTCTGGCCGGACCTCAAATCCCACATAGCCGAACCGTGGCGGCGCATATCCCACACCCGGGCCCACATGGCCTAGGGGAACTAAATACCCCCTAAAAGATTGTACCACACACCCTTGGGCAGGAGTCGTGTGCGTTATTTTGCACTTCCCGCCAAAGCCCCAAAAACAACATGAGTGCTGCGATAAGAGAATCAGTACCCCAGGAGGGTATCGCGAATAGCGAAGAATCCCTCACCAAGCCTAGCTTAGTCTGTCCCGCGTATTCTGGGGGGGACAAACAGCGCTCAGGGAAGGGCGCAAGCCTGGACCTGTCTGGCCTAGCTGAGGCCATAACTACAGCTACACAACAACAGACACAAGCAACTACACAGTGGTCTGTGGTCGCCCATAAGCGCCCCTGCAAAAGGGAGTCTGCTAATGTGGCAGCCACCCACAGTCACACACACAAAGGCTCACAGCGCCAAACGGAACGCAGTCGCCCCAACCGGCGTGCGAGAAGGGAAGCCCTGCAGTCCACCACAAACACAAACAAAACACAAACAAAGTCGGCCACCGCAGCTGTGGAAACAGTGCGAGCTAGTAGAAATACAGAGGGCCGGCCAACCAAACACTAACAAAAACAAACAACCACGACGGAGACCGAAACCGAGGGATTTTCGTGCTCGGCGGATCGCTGCGAAGGCTCCCACTGCTCCTGAAAAGGAGCAGCCTGGGGTTGGGGGTTGTTCGGACGAGGTAGCTTCTGTGAAGCGGCCACGCCTGGATGATACACAATCTCCAAGGGGGGATGCCAAGCGCGTGAAAACCGACGCGAGGACGAAGCGGACGGTGAGCTACGCAGATGCGAGTAAATCGCATCTGAGAGTAGCGGTCACCACCGTTCCGCCGAGGGACCTCTCGGCTGAGCAGGCGGAACACCTGAAGGAGACCATCGACGATGGCATTCTACAGGCTGTTCTGACACCACAGTCTCCGGATGCGCAAGCCCCATCTTTCCGCGGGCGACCCTTCCTAGTGGACGGGGTGCTAGCGATGTGGTGTGAGGATGAAAACGCGCTAAAGTGGCTCGAACAAATGGTGAAAACCATGCAGTCACCCATCCAAAACACGACGTTAACGGTCATCAAGCTCTCGGATGTGAAGAAGAGGCTCAGAGCTGGGCTTCTTCTTCATACCCGAATCACCGAGTCTGCCACACTGCAGCGACTCCTTTGTGCCCAGAACCCTTGGTACAAGGTTGACTCCTGGCAATGCTACGATATGACAGTCGACGACAAGCCGGAGAGTAATTCTAAGGAGAAAGTAGTCCACCTAATCCTAGGAATCCTCGAGGACCAGAAACAAACGATACTGGACAGAGAACGCCGTGTTGCACACATGACTGGCAGCAGATACATCCGCTTTTTCGCGCCAGACGATGCACCACCGGCGGATCTGACAGTAGCAAAACCCAATGCGACTACAGAGCAGGAACGCACTGTGGTTCCAGTACCAACCACCTCAGCTCCCCAACCGGGTCCGAGCGAGATGGAACTGGGAGCAAGCCTAAGCTCGGAGGACTGCGTCAGCGATGAAGATGGCGTCCTACGTAGTCCCTAGTCGCATTCAAATTATACAGACCAATCTCCAGCACAAGCAAATAGCGGCGGCCACTCTACGCAGGGTGCTGGAGACGAACAACAAGACCGTCGCCCTGATCCAAGAACCCTGGATCAGAAACAATAGGATCTGCGGTCTGAACAACATCAGTGGTAAGTTACACTTAAACACATCTATCGATAAACCAAGGACATGCATTTTCGCACCTAAGTCCGTAAAAACAAACATGCTTAACCAATTCTGTTCTAGAGACGCTCACAGCTGTGACGATCCCCACAGATAATCAAACAGTCCTGGTACTAGCTTCAGTCTACATGCCGAACGAGGGTAAATTACCTACGAGGGAGCTGACTGAGCTGGTACGACACTGCGAGAACCACAAATGGGAGCTGATTGTAGCGGCTGACTGCAACGCACATCACTCACTGTGGGGAAGTAAGGATACAAACAAGAGGGGTGAGTTGTTAATAGAATGCTTATTCCAAACTTACCTTAACATCATGAACATTGGCACGGAGCCCACATTTGTTAGCTCCAGGTACCATACCATCATAGACATAACCCTAGCGACACACGCGGCGGCCAATCTAATCGAAGGATGGCACGTATCAAACGAACCCTCCTTGCTCTCTCTATGAACACAAGTGAAATCTCTAGGCGTAATCCTTGATAACAAATTGAACTGGGCGAGTCATATTGAATTAAAAACAAAGAAGGCCTGCATAGCTTTTAACCAGTGTAGAAGATTAGTTGGTAAAAAATGGGGTCTTAGCCCAAAGATCACTCTTTGGCTATACACAGCAGTTATCAGGCCAGCAATAACCTACGATTCAGTTGTTTGGTGGCCCAGGACCCAACGACAGTGAAATTTAAACTCCAAAGTGCTCCAAAGCAGCGCTTGGCGAGCGTAGCGGCAACTGCATGAGAACAACTCCATCTGCTGCATTAGAGTACCTCTTGAACTTAAGACCTCTAGACCTGGTCATACAAGAGGCGAAAGCAGCAGCCTTGAGACTAAGATCTTTGGGTCTATGGAGATCAAACACTGTAACAACACACTCCAATATTCTACAAAAGTGCATGAAGGAGATCCCACTCCTGGAGGCACCTATGGATAGAATATTGGGTCAACACGTCTTTGATCGAAGATACAACATCCAACTTACCGCGGAAAAGGTAGACTACTCTGGCACCGGGGAAGTTAGGATATACACAGATGGCTCCAAAACCAAAATTGGTACTGGAGCCGGTGTCTTCTCGAACGACCTCAATATAAAAATATTCACAACCTTAGACAAACTAAGCACAATCTTCCAGGCGGAATGTATTGGCATTACCGGAGCGGCACAGGCGGTTGCAGCCAGAGACATCAGAGAGTTCAACATTAAGATCATCTCTGACAGTGCATCCGTGCTTCAAGCCCTACGTAGCAACACAATAAACTCTGTCCTGGTAATGGAGTGCCGCAATGCACTTCAATCCATTGCGGTAACCAACACGGTAACTCTGCAATGGATAAAAGGACACAGCAACTCAATCGGAAACGACGCAGCAGACGAACTGGCTAAGAGAGGAGCAGACACAAAAGTGTATGATCCGGAACCTCTTCTGCCCATACCTCAGGCCCAAATTAAGACGTGGCTGCGTGAAAGAACTCAGAAACTACACTTGACTGAGTGGAAAACAGGTGAAGGATGCCGGCAAACGAAAAACGCAGTTCCGGCGGCAAACAAGAGACTTGCCCGCACCCTTACCAGACTTAATAGGGACAAACTCCGCATAATTATAGGAACCCTAACTGGTCATTGTCCCCTAAACAAACACCTATACACAATAGGAGTAACCGACATCCCCCTATGCAGAGGATGTATGGAGGCAGAGGAAAGCCACAGCATGTCATTATGGAATGCAGGAGTGTGGCCGACCAACGGGCACGACTTCTCCAGTCACTCGCATCGCTTCCGGAAGCTTGCAGCAGTCTGTCAAGACTGCTTTCCTTCTGGACTAACTTAGGCTGGCTGGAGTAAATGGGAATGTTTCAAGACACGCACAATGGTCCAATGATTAGGACTAAGTGCGGAAACCGCCCTGAAAAACTAACTAACTAACTTGGAGCTCTTGTCTGGGAAAGTAGGAACCACAGAGCAACTCCCCGATATCTATGATTGGAAATGCGCACGTTACATACAACCTTCACGCAGTGTGATAGCATTGCGATTCCTTCACACAGTGTAGTTCTTATAAAATCTGGTGTAGGTATTGGCAAGTTTGTACAGTGACTGTAAAATTATGATAAGACTGCCTAAGTCTAACTTCGACCAAAACGTGTTGTAAAAGTAGGTATCAAATTTTGATAATATTTACCCTCTGATTGTGTTTATGTCTACTGGTTCTGGTTCCAATATTTCTGGCGCTAATTTTATGCCTTCAACTTCTCGCAATAGAATGTAAAGCGTTTCAAGCTGTTCGTTGAATTTGGCCAATAATAATCTCGAGTCTTTTTTCGGCAATGCTGATTGGTCTTCCTCGACCACTTGATTGCAAAATGTACATCTGAATTCTTGTGTCATCATGTCGTACAACTGATCAGCCTAGAACACCCGAACTTTGCATATTAACGCAGGCTGTTAATTGATAAGTTATTTAATCTAAACACAAAATATGTAAGTATACGTTAGGTAGATTATTCTGTGATGCTATATGTTTATTATATAAGTATAAAGAAAGATGGTGGTACATTTGTAAAGGAAAGTATGTTGTACTTTACAGAAGATTATAGCCAAATAATCATTCTGTAATGGTATGTTCTAGCAATGAAAAAAGTCGCCATGATTCCATTTGGTAGTGGATATACCAGGTTAGTAATGCGTGTGCGATGCTCCTGCTCTCAGGCGTTATGATGAGGGACAAGAGACAACATTGTAAGTCTTCAAAATAAATAAAAAATAACACCGAATATTATACATTTACTTACACATACTTATATTGAAAGTTAAGTAGGTAGGTTGGTATGTTAAAGATATTGTTAGTTTTAAGCTGGGTCTCCTGCGCTGTGTTTCCGTGTTTGCTAACCGGTTAGGGGTGTGGCCTAATAGTTTTGCTTACGGCGATTGGATAAAACTTGCGTTGATAACAAGGTCTCCCGCCGTAGTTTTGCGAACCGATGGCGTAGCTTCTTGACCTTCACAAGTGCTTGTAACAGCCTAGACAAAATAAATGACATTTCATTTCATTTCATTAACATGTTTTGTTAGAAAATAGGCGCAGGAGACGGTGGCTTTACCCTCACCAATGCAAAAAAAAATTGGTAAAGAAAGCACATTATTTGGAAAAGGGGATAAAGTAATGGCATAGTTTAAGTAAGAAGACTTACTTCTAAATCTGTGAATGTTTTCCCGCACGATGGACACTTGAAGCTGGCACGACTTGTGGCGTCGCGTTCTTCTGTCTCCATACGTTTGCGCATCAGATCTAATTTGTATTTAACAACGTTCACAAACGTTTTATAATTTATAAAATAATAGTTAACTTTCTGTGCCTTGCCATCAGGACCTGAAATTTAATAATGTAGCTGTAGGTGTAGAATACTGCTTTTTAGGGCTCCAAGTTCAACAACCTTTATAATTTTGCTGCAAACATCCGCCCATCGTACATGGGACTCCTACGAGACAGACGCCTAATATGCACTGCATATGCACAGAAAAGTAGGTAGGTAGGTGGCGTATTAGAATTTTTTCTTTTGCTTCCGATCCAATGACCTTGAGTAGCATTTGGGCTATTTACCCGTACAATACAATACAAAATTATTTATTTTACACCACAGAAAACATTTCGTACATAAAGGCTGGATACAGTGCAATAATGGGCGGTCTAATCGCTAAAAGCGATTTCTTCCCGACAACTTTATGATGTAGAGGATGAGAAAAAAGCTACCTACTGCCAGCCTTGAACAAGTTCTGTTGTGTTTATGACTAAAATTAGTACTTATTATAGAGTTTTGCATAAATTTTACACACGCTTGTAAATACTTATTATAAGTAGGTTATAAGCTATTTGACAGTATAAAAAATTAAAGTACACACATCAAAAGTGTCTAGGGATCAAGCATTTTTATGCGGATTTCTTGAGATTGAGATGTGGCTTTGTAATAAATTTATGATTTTATAAATTTATATGGATCCTTTTTGGTGCATTTCATAATTTGAATCAGGAACTGTGAATCAAATTCGAGTAAAAGATGAAAATCAGCTGTCAATATTTTCCCTATAAAAACATACAACGCATTGAAGACATTATTAGTGCTACTGTTTCCCTACTACTGATTAAAACCAACGTTATTATGGAGCGGCGACGTCATTTAAGCAGGGAAGAAATGCTCAGAGCCGTGGGAATGATAGAAGCTGGTTCCCGGCAACGTACTGTGGCTTTAGCTCTGAATACAAGTCAGAGTGTTATCAGTCGACTTTGGACACGATACCGAAGCACTGGTACCGTGGCTGAGCGCCATGGAGGACGGTATCGCTGCACCACACGGAGACAAGACCGATACATTCAAATCTTAACTCGAAGAGCTCCAACAATAACCGCCATGATGTTAGCCGTGAGGCTTCATCACTCTTCAGGGAACTTAATTAGCGACCAAACAGTCAGAAACCGCTTGCATGAAGTGAACCTTCATTCCCGAAGACCGCTACGGGTACCACCTATAGCAATGCACAATCGTAGGATTCGATATCAATGGGCTCTTGAACACAGAAATTGGGCAGAAGAACAATGGCGTTTCGTGTGCTTTTCTGATGAGTCTCGTTTTGGTATGAGACCGGATACAAGACGTATACGACACTGGAGAACCCCTGGACGCCAACAGCGATTAAAATCCTGCCAGGAAGTCCATCCTTATAGTGGTGGAACCATCATGGTATGGGCGGGTATTTGGATCGGCGGAAGAACTGAGTTGATTTGGATCAGAGGCAACCTCAACGCTCAAATTTATGCTGAGACGATTGTATCAGACGTCATCGTTCCTCTACAAGTGCAAATCGGTCCCTTATTTCAGTTAATGCATGATAATGCACGACCGCACACCGTAAGAGTTGTAAGACAGACTCTCGCCGCAGCTAACATCAATGTCCTGCCCTGGCCTGCTCAGTCGCCAGACTTAAACCCGATTGAGCATGCATGGGATATGCTACAGAGAAGAGCTCTGCCGAATATGGAGGGTATCCAGTCGCAAGAAGACCTTTTTTTGTTGTTGCAACGAACATGGGCGGCCATTCCACAGCGTGATTTGGATGAACTCATTTTGAGTATGCCAAACCGATGTTCTTGTGTTGTTAGTGTTCGCGGTAGAAATACGGATTATTAATTGTTTAAGTTACCCAATAAAATTTTAGAGAAAACTGTTATTTCAGTCTTTTTTTCGAACTTTTGTGTTAGTGGTTCAAATGTCAAAAATCCCTTTATTAGGAAAATGGCAAATTTCTTTATTAATGCAAAGGTGACTTGGTTTATCGTTACTGTGACAAACGAAAACACTTTATTTGATGAATCCTTAAAGAAAATTTTAATTAATATCAATCAGGAGAAAAGTTATTGCAAAAATATATGTTGATCCCTAGACACTTTTGATGTGTGTAGTTGTTGTAGTAATTGTTGAAATTTGTATTTAATATGAATATAAGCAGCGATTTTACTATTCTGAGAGAACAAATAAATTAATAACTTTTTTCATTAATTAAAAGTGATTATTCTGTTCTATGGTCACATGACCGAAAATGCATGTCTAATGAGTAGTGAAAATCGTGTGACGTCACATACCTACCATCAGTGCCGTCTTTGACCTGTTGGAGGCCCAAAGTGCCCAATGGGAAAGAGGGGTCTGCCTACCATATTTATCAAGGAAACGTTTTTGCGGTAACTTTAAAATGGAATTTTTTATTTAGTTTTTTTTTAACTAAAATACACAACGGAATGACGAATACCTACGTTTTTTGCGGACTTGATAAACATTAGTAAATAACATGAGACCGTTTCCTAAAACTTGCCAAATACCCTATTATGTATACTATGTACGTAGGTATAGCTATATATATGTGCGGTACGATGGGCACTAGGCTGCGCCGCCCTCACGCGCGGGCCTTCATGCGCACGTCTGCGGGGTCCCCTCCCCGCAATACCCCGGGAGACCCCTGCCGTGAAGCCGCGGCTAGGCGGGAGGCTTTTGGGTGCGGAGACGAGGCAGAATTCCCAAACGGAGATCCCGCAGTTTCGCACTTGAGGGAATTCTCAGGGTTTTTCAGAGTATATTATGCCGTAAAGCGCCCGTAAGAGTTACGGGGTCCTTAGTGGGCAGCTACTGCGGGGGCCCGTAAGGCTTGCGGGAGCCAGGTGTGAGATCCGTTCGGCGGTGTGCCTCTTAAAGGCGCCGTCGTCTGTAAATAGAAGTTTTGCCTGCGTCAAAACAATTAAATAAAAAAAGGTATATATATAGGTACCTGTTTCCATTTTTAATCTAACTTGAATAAACTTATCGTTTTTCAGGGTGGCTATTCGAGCCCTTAGCATTTTTCTTTCGAACTTTAATAATTCACAAATATCATCTTCTTTCATACCTGAAAATATTGAAATGCTAGAGAAGACAAAACTATTTATATGTTAATAGGTTTAGGGTTTTATTGGTAATTGTAATCATACTTACAAGGGTTTCTAACTAACATGTCTACGATAAGTGCGTCTTCAATAGTGTAGAACCCCCTTACAACAAGGCGAGCTAGTTGTTTTAAGCTGCTGGGCACCTCTGTTACCAGGCGCTCCTCTGTCATTTTTGTAAATTTTCTGTTGAAATAAGCGTCTTATTTATTGAAAATCATAAATTCAGATTTAGAATTCATGGTATCTATAACTTCATAAAGAAGGGAGATATAAAAAGATAGGTCATCAGTTCAGTTCATCAGTCACTCATACAGTAACAAAATGAAAATATTTTTCAGTTTACATAATTTATTTTCTTAAACGGCTAAAATCAAAAATGATAAATACATAATAAAAACTATTTACATGACTACTAACATTACGAAATTTAAAAAAATCATAATATAAAATGGAATTCAGTATAAAGCTATGTTCTTAACTTGCATTACGAAAAATATATATTTGTACATATAGATTTTTATTTGGCAGTGAGTTTCATTAATTTTTCGGGCCATTTTTCACATATTAAAATTAAGACATTATATACTACGATTTAACAATTTCCAATAATTAGTGATGTACAAGATATTTGTGAATCTCAGTTGAAAAACATCTCAACTTGTCTATTTTCCTGGTATTATTATATAAATAAGAATAATTAGATATGAAAGTTGTTAATAAAGTTCAACAATGTTATGACAAAATATTCACCATAAAATGTAAATATTGAATATTCAAATTGGCAATAAAAAGCATAATGAGCAAATAAAATAAGAAAATATCACAAAGATAGTAAGTTAAAGGAACTTATTAATAAAGGGCAATGACCTTAAGGGTTTTATTACACTAGTTTTATTTTATTAATTAATTTAAATCAGTCTTCACAAAAATATATAATATAGGTATTATTAATGCGAAAATGATTGAAAAGTTATTAACATATTTTTTTCTTCATTCTACATTATGTGCAAATTAAAACATATTAGACTAGCCAAGTAAGTAAGCTGCATAAAGGATAGAATGGTAGCTGCTACAATTCAAAAACATTTACAATATTGGCAAGTATACAGTTAATCAAAAGTTGGTAATGGACTTTTTCTTGATTTTATTTTTACCACACAAGTTAATGAGCTGCACTGACTGAAATCATTTAATTTTGTATTAAATAATCATAAATAATGTCTGCATGATTAAATGGCTAACTTCTTAAATCAACAATACCTTGTTAACAGAGGGCATAGTTTAACATAGTTTTATTCAAATAATTACAAATGCATGGTTCTAATTTATTACACAGTGTTAGTAATGTAAATTCCTAGAAAAATTAAATTATACAAATTAATTCTTACAACTAATAAATTTTAATGTACAAAAACACAGAATCAATCACTGTGTTGTGTTCTTTCAAGAATTATTTGTATATTATCTAATGTCTGATATATGACTCTAAAATTAGGACGATCACTAGGGTGGTGGTTCCAACATTGCTTCATTAGATCATAAACACACCTAGGAGTATTGTCAGGGCAAGCAAGAACATTACCATCTTTCAAAAACCTTACTACTTCTTCATGTGTCATACCAAAGTAAGGCTGTAGAGCAAATGAGAATATTTCCCATAGACACACACCATATGCCCACACATCAGATTCTAATGTATACTTATTATATAGAATACTTTCTAGTGGCATCCATCTGACAGGAATAGCATCATGCTCATCCCCTTTATAATAATCTTGTAAATAAATTTTATGTGATAGGCCAAAATCTGCAATTTTAACAACCATGTCATCATTAATAAGACAATTTCTAGTTGCTAAGTCTCTATGTACGAATTTTCGATCTGAAAGATACACCATTCCTGAAGCTATCTGTCTTGCAATATGCAAAAGATCTAAATGGCTAAGAGGCATTGCAAGTAATCTTAAGTCTTCTCTGTTTTCCACAGCAGGCGCAAAATTTGGAGCTGTGCTACAAGCTCTTAAATATTCATTTAGATCTCCTTTCCCCATGTATTCAAATAACAAGCACATCGGCCGTCCAATAGCACAAACACCTAATAATTTAACTATATTGGGGTGGTCAAAATCAGCTAATAAGCAAGCTTCCCTTTCAAAGTCCAGTTGTAAATCATGGGAAGCTTCATCTTTGAGCATTTTAACAGCAACTAGAGTGAACTCTTCTTCTGGTACAAGTCCAGGAGCTTTGGCTTGGAAAACTCTCCCAAAAGCACCTTGACCTAGGTCACGGATATAAATAATATTATTTCTAGGGAATTCAAGCTTTTCGAGTTTTGGATTTAGTTGTGCACCAGTTGTGTGATAAGCTAAATTACTGGGAAGTTTGTCCAAGTCAATATCCATATTTTTTCCATTCCTGCGGTTTGAAATGTTACATTTTGAATAATGGTTTTTCAAAAAGTAGTGACACAGCAAAGCTACTGACGCTATTAGTAAAACACAGCCCAATCCACCAACTGAGAGTAATAAAACAAAGGATGGAGTAAAATAATTTTCCATAATTATATTTGGCCTACTGGTATTGTCAATCTCATCACTTGAGTTGGCACATGCTGGTATATCACAATGTTCCCATCGTACATTTGGATCCATAGTGTAGCACCAAGGTTTTTGTTCTTCACCCCCTGCATTTCTACAGTAATTCGTTGAATTTTGAACTTCAGGAAAGACAAGAGGTGGTCTAGTGTGCTGATGTGGAGACTGCGATTCCCAGGCTTGACAAGCTAGTCCTGTCTCGGTCATGTTCATAGTGCCTTGATAGTATCTGCCATTATCTTTTACACAATGAGTAGTTACTTCATTATAGTCCATTTCAGTAATACCTGTATTATGACATGTAACTTGTGCACCTTTGCCTGCGAATTTAGGGAGGTTTTCACATTCAGGAAATCTAAAATGTCCTCTGGTCTCAAAGAACACTCCCCTACGTTTTTGTTCCTCAATAACGATCCAATCATTGTAACAAAATTGCATTTTGACAGCCATACAGTCTTCGTAACATATGGGTAGAGCAAAATAACCAACTCCATCTTTATCAATGCACTTGGGAAAGGCGTAAGCACAAAGTAATTTTTCCGCTCTGCTTCTGCATGGTTCTTTCAAAGTAGATATCATCTCTTTCCATAGGCCTGTAGTAATATTTTCATTGTCTAAGCCACCAGTGGTTTGATTATACCAAACATAGCCCGTAGAATATTTCTTACATATTTTTCCATTGTATGGACCACAGTAAAGATGCACTGATTTTATTAGTAGGAGCACAGTAAATACTTTGCAGTAGATGTCCATTGTTTTAAATTAAAAGCTTTTTTATTTCGATGTACGGAGAATATCGTTGCATTTTAAATATTCGATACAAAGTTAAACTAAACACGATACTGAATGTACAATGGCGGACACATTATTTATTATTGATTTTACTTTTCATGAAATTCCAAATGTGCAAGCAAGCAAAGCAGAAATTTACGTTCGGAAATCGGATTCACAAAACTACAACAAGTGCTTGGTCCGATACAACGATTACGATGCATGTAATTATTCTAAAAACTTAATTTGTTTCATTCACAAAACACGAGAAGATCTAAATATATTATTAATGTGTTTCTTGTTGATGAAATTTAAAATTTTCATTGAAAAATTATACATTATTTATATTTTGAAAACGTAACTTAAAACGAAGTTCATATTTCTGAACGAAGGCAACATAAAACATGGTAATGTTGGTAGTATATCCGTCAAGTGTCAAAATAGGGACTCACCGTTCTGTATTAATTTCTAGAAAATGGCAGCAATTGAGAAAGTAAAGGTTGTTGTTCTTGGTGATTCAGGTAATTACATTCTCTTGAATATTCTTAACACTTTTTACATATTATATAGAAATAAAATACAAAAAATAAACAGTTTTACGTTTCGTAACTTGTTATCTGCCAACTTTACGGCGGCCATGATACTTGTTGAAGCAAGGCTAGGCAACGTACAGAAGTTAAATATGTATAATACGGCGCCATATTTCAATTACGTTTCTTTAACTTGTTTTTTAGGGTTCCGAGGCAAAGAAACTCTAATGCGTCCCGGAGACGATCAAGTCGACTTGACCGTCTCCGGGACGTATTATGTTTCGTTGAGTCCGTCCGTCCGTTCGTAGCTTAGCTTAAAGAATATTGGTACTAGAAAGCTGTAATTTGGCCGGGATATCTAATTTTTGTCACGCCAACAAAGTTGTTACCCACATTATTACGCGCTACACCAACGCACTGAGCAAGTAATCTACACTAACGCTACACTTAAGTGGGGATGTTGATTTTTTTCGTCTGTCCCATAGTGTAAGTTGTCGCTGGAAAGGTCTTCGCAAAATATGAGAGTTCGATACCACAATTTTTCTATTTACTGAATAGTGTGCGAAATATAGTCTATGAATTACAACTTTTTGTCAAATCAGGTGACCCTCAATGCATTCTACACATTAGCGTCTCTTTATGTCTTAAATCATTTGCATGCATCTGTATCTTCAACTTTAAAACTGCATATCAATTTCCTGGTATTAAGTAAAATCTTTGCTATTTGTGCTTTGTGTGGGTAACTGCCAATCGTAACTACCCCACATTTTTTTATTTAATACTAATTAATTGTTTATTAAAATGAATTATATTTCAGGGGTTGGCAAGACATCTTTAAATCACCTTATAGCACATCACAAACCATTACTATCGCCAGGATGGACCGTCGGCTGCTCCGTAGAAGTTAAGTTACATAGGTACAAGGAAGGAACACAGGCACAAAATACATTTTTTGTCGAGCTTTGGGATGTTGGAGGTTCTAATGGTCATAGAAATACCAGAAATGTATTTTATCAGCCTACGCATGGTGTGTAAAATTTCCCTTAAAATTACATAGGTACATAAATTATTATTAACGGTAGACAAACAGTAGACTTGGGTCCTAAATAAAACTTAAGCCCACCATTCACTACACGCACCGCGAGCCGAACCCCGAGCCGTACCCATTCGTGGACAAATCCGTCATTGCCCACACACTACACGAGCGCCGAGTTGCAGTCCAGTCGCTTGTGTACTTTGGTGAGCCTCGCGCGTATCGTTCTTCTCTACCCTACCATGCCACTGGTGCTTTCCAAATGCATAAAAGTCGCTTTAGTAGTCGGTGCAATACTTTTAACGGAGAATAAAAAGAAAAAGAGCGTCTGAACAAAGGAATGGCTGAAACAACGAACAAAATATACTCATTTAAAATTGCTGCAATGCATTCAAAATTCAGTCTTTAAACAGCAGGATAAATTCTTGCCAAAACTCTTTATGATCGCCAAACGACATGTTATTATACTCGTTTACTCGTTCGTGATACAAACAACACAACTGCAGGCCAATTATGCTCGCTAATTGTGATATTGTTTTGATGTCAATTTCACATTACGCATTAATTATGCTCTCCGAAAAATGCGATATCAAAATGACATCAACTTTAAAATGATATCAACTTAAATGCGTATTACGTTCAACTTTTTGACATAAAACAGTATCGCATAAACGTTAAAAATGTGATACAGACTTAACAAGTTAGGGGGTGGTTTTTCTGTGTCAAATTTCTTTATTTTTAATAAAAAAAGAGTAAAATGGCTTGTTTCGTGTTAGTAATGGACTATTTAGAACGTCCTCATGCCGAGGACATGCGTAGAAGAGATAAACCCCTGTAGAAGAGATACAATTAGCTCTTTATGTTCGCTAATTGTGATATTGTTTTGATGTCAGTTTCACATTACATATTATGCTCTCCGAAAAATGCGATATCAAAATGACATCAAATTAAGCGTATTATTATCAACTCTTTAAAATGATATTAACTTGATATCAACTTAAATGCGTATTATGTTCAACTTTTTGACTTATAACACTATCGCATAAACGTCAAAAAGTGATACAGAATTAACAAGTTAAGAGGTGATTCTGCGTGCACGCACGCGAGCCGCGCTCACCAATACATTCACACGCGGATTTGTCCGCGGACTTGTCGCCAGCGACAAATCCGGCGGATGGGCGCGCCTGTGAATGGTAGCCTTACGCCCACCATTCACTACACGCACCGCGAGCCGAACCCCGAGCCGTACCCATCCGTGGACAAATCCGTCATTGCCCACACACTACACGAGCGAGAGCACTATAATGTAATAGAAATTGGCATATTTGTGTACGATAGCGCAATAAATAATTGTTGTATTTTACCACATACATGATAGAACTTTTATATTGATAATTAAAGCAATTCGTGCAAAATTTTTCCCTAACCATTCCAAAATATCAAAAATGCACAACGTTAATATTCAAGTTTTCACTTCTGAAGTGCAACCCGTCGATTTTTTTAAAATTAAGTAATTATTAAATGAACTACTTACTAGATCTCGTTTAAACCAATTTTCGGTGGAAGTTTTGCAAGGTAATAATGTACATCATCTATTTTTTTAGTTTTACCACTTTGGTGTGTCTCTCACGTAGAAACCTCAATATCATTTTTGAAGACCCATCTATAGATTTTGATGATTTTTTTTATTTGTGTTTCAGTTCTAAGTATCGGGAACCCCCACCTTTTTTTTCTATTTTTGTGTGAAAATCTTAATGCGGTTAACAGAATACATCTATATACCAAGTTTCAACAGTATAGTGCAGTGACGTACGGACGGACAGACAGACAGACATGATGAATTTATAAGGGTTCCGTTTTTTGCCATTTGGCTACGGAACCCTAAAAAAAGAGAGATACGGTACGCTCATACTAGCATTAAATAAAAAATGCTACGACTCAACTACATAATGAAACTCTCACGCACGCACATTTCTGTATATAAACATTCAACGAGTGAGCGAGACAGAACTATACGCTTCAACGCAACGCGTAACGGCGAGTCCGCGTTGCTTAGCTTGGCGCCTGCGTTTTCTTTTCTCTCTCTCTCTCTCTACAAACGGCTAAGCTGTATTGTTGACATTTTTTTGATAACAAATGGCGAAAAAGTAAATAAGATTCACGACAAACCGAGATTTTTAAGAAAAAAATGTTTGTATATTTTTACGAATTAAAAGTGTTGCATATTATAAGAAAAAATAAACACTCAACACTTTTTTGCAGGTATAATTCTAGTACACGATTTAACAAACAGGAAAAGTCAAATCAACTTACAAAAATGGCTCTCCGAAATAATAAACCAGGATAGTTTAGGCCCTGCTCTGCAGCACGTCGAGGTGGATCCAGAACAGTTTTTAGGCTCTACACAGGTAATTTATTTAAAATCTAGGATTATCAACTTGCTATGTCGGCCGTTATTTGAACGTGATTGCGCGTTTTTTTTAATGGTAAAAAGAAACATTTTTGGTACTTAATTCCATTATATGTAATTGAATTTCGGGGTAATTTGTAGGGGAGGGGGAGGGGGGGCTCCCCCCGACCCCCCGCCATAAATGATTTTTGGCGGAAATGCAGTTTTTTTTTTACCTAACCTAAAAATTCATAAAATCTGTTATATGTAGTGGAATTTCAGGGGGATAGGTATTAGGGAAGACCCCTCAGAGGGAAGGAAGGAAACCCCCCCCCCCCCCGGCGTTTTTTAACAGAAATGATAATTATAAAAAATTAGAGGAGTTTGAAAGGTAAATCTGTACTTCCAGCGCCTAGAGGTGATATTTGATTTTTCTGTAGAAAAAGTCTATTAACAAATTTTTCTTTCTGGCGCTTCGCCGGCCGCTGCCGCGGCACGCTCGCTTCGCTCGCTCGGCTCGCGCGTTAAGGTCACAACACTAACCTAACCTAACCTAGTGTGAAGTATCACCACTTGGGCCTTAGATATACAGTTTAGCCGTTTAAATAAAACAAGTTTAAACACAAACACTGACTGACAGATCTCATTAATGGCGGTAAATTGTCACATTTTGACAATAGTACCAACATAATAAACTTATATTTACCACAGACAACGAGAAACATGTTATTTTTGCATAAAAAAATGGCAGCACTGGTCATGAAAATTGCGAAAAAAAAAAATGTTGTCAAAATTGACTCATAACCTACAAAAATATTAATTTTCAATAATTTTTTTCTCGAGTTCTATTCGTTTCCGCCAAAAAAGATTTCGTGTACGTGTTTTTAATAGTTAATACTTTGCGTGACAAAAATTTCAGCTTGCAACTCAATTACATATAATGGAAAGGTAAGCCACATTTTTTTTTCATTTAACATCACTAAACTGGAGTAGTAAGAAGGGTGATAAAAATGTACGGTATTACTACTGGTTATCTCATTGGAAGAAAGATTATGGTTAAACAGATTTTATTTCTTTTATTTACATTTGATACATACATAATGCATTTGTACTAAGATATATATTATTTTTAGATACCAATACTTGTCATTGGCACTAAATACGATTTGGCCGAAGAGGCACAAAAGAAAAATCAATATAGACGACTAGCTAGCAGTATTGCGGAGCAATGCGGAGCTGATGAAATATTTGTAAATTGTCACCAAGTCAGGTATGTGTACCAGTACAGATCGCGCCAAATTTCTAGTCCTCTGTGAAGTTGCTTCGCTCAGGTGTACAGTCGTATACACAACCTTCGTCCCTCTATATACGTGACTTTTGTTACTATAATGCGATTCAAATAAGAATAGGAAAGCCAATGACCTCCATCTGTCAAATGTCGCATGAAAAGTACGGTTTGCAAAAAATCTCGGAACACTTTTTTAGCACTCACCTATTCTAGATTAAAAACCAAACATTTTATAACAAATATTGATAATTAATATTGGTTGATATTTTTTTTCATTTATTGAGCTTTGGCTATGGATGGTTGATAACCTAAATTGTCAACCAAATGTCACTTTATGTTGCGTTCAGAAACTCGATTTATCTTCATTCATTTACGTACAGGATGCATGTTCGTATGTGACTTGCATGATTATTCATAACTACTCCGGCGATAATGCAGAGATGAGAGGAATTGAAGAGCTAGATTCTGATTTTTCTCACACAGTCTTAATAAAGAAATATTATTAAAAATCGGTTGTTTTTTTTCTCAATCTTAGTAAATTAATTTTATTAAAAAATCTGATGTTTTTTCTCACTTAATCTTAGTTAATAAGTTTTATTAAATAGGAACTTTTTTTGCTCACTCTACCTATTTGGTTTGAATTGACAGCACTGGCGTTAAAATATGGCGCCCAGTCGGTCCTATTCTTAGTTGAATCGCATTATACGACGCGAATTGTGCAGTGTTCAGAGCTGACTAGAAGATTGTTGAGATCTATACCTACTTACATAATAGGACGAGACCTCCGTTCGGCGGTATGTACGCCGGGTTTTAAGGTGTCATCGCCTACTCAGGGGTTCTGGATTCGAATCCCGGTGGGACAAATGTTAGTACGATGAATACGAGCATTTGTACCAAAGCCATGGGATTTTTAAATATTTATTTCTAGATAATTACTTAAATATGTATCAGTGTATGTATTCTATCCGTTACTCTAGTATCTCATAACACAAGCCTCATGCCAGCACTTCACTTAGCTATTGATTTTTGCTATTTGTAAACATGACATCAGTCTGTCTTTTTAATTTCTTGTAGAGCATGATAAGGATAGACTCTTGTCAAGTTTAGAAATAGCATATTCGAAATTATATTTATTATTATGCCAAATAAAGTTCCGGCATTACAGTGCATACTTTGGGGCTAGGATTGATTGGCGATTGATAATAAAACGGCGAACTTTGTTTTCTCAATATCTTATTGAAGTTTCATCCATAAAATGATACTTTTAACTTTCAGATCCTTAGCACCGGGCACCAGCAACTCGGTGAAACTTACAAGATTCTTTGACAAGGTATGGGAATTGAAAGTTAATAACTTTGGGTAAAATCAAAGTTCAATTTTTAAAAATCAAAATTCACCAATCATCACAGAATCACAGAAACCGGAGCAAATATACAAAGAGGAACTGCAGTTCTCAATGTAGCACTGCTTCTACCAGTGTCGCACTGACGTCACTCGTTAGTAGTAAAGCACCAAAGGCGCTGTTATCAGTTGGATAATTTTTGATGTGTTCTTTCATTCGGCTCGCTATTGTCCGCTTCGTTTGGCCAATATACGAACTACCACAACTGCAGTCCATCTTATATACACCAGGTTTCTCCAAAGGGAAGTTGCCTTTGGGAGATCGTAGAAACTGTGACACTTTTTGTAAAGGAGTGAAGACAGTATTCAGTGAGTACTTATTAAGTATGTTCGAGATCTTGTCTGTCACTCCTTTGATATATGGCAAAAATACTGGTTGCCTGCCTACTTTGTGTGTCTGGTGCCTTAATTTGTGTTTGGGTGGAAACTGTCCCTTGTATCCATTATTCTGTAGGACCTGCCGTACATACTCCAACTCTTCGTGCAGGTGTTCCTTGTCACACAAGTCATATGCACGGTTCGTCAGTGAAGTCACTACAGAGTTTAGATGTCTAGCGTGGTGATGCGAGGAGGCGTTGAGATAACGGTCTGTGTGTGTGGGTTTGCGGTGAATGGAATGACTCAGCGAACCATCATTCCGCACCCGAATCTTTACATCAAGAAATGCCAGACTTCGGTCTTCTTCCATCTCATATGTGAAATGCATTTTGGTATGAACTCCATTTAAATTTGCCAAATGAGCCTCGACATCTTCTTTGTTTCCTCTCAATATACAAAATACGTCATCGACATACCTCTTCCATAGTGTAATTTCTGTGGGGGCGGTGGCGAAAGCTTTTTCCTCAAAATACTCCATCCATATATTGGCAACGACTGGAGCTACCGGACTGCCCATTGCGACCCCATCTATTTGGAGGTAGTACTGACCCTGGTATATGAAGAAGTTCGTCGTCAAACAATGATGCAAAAACTTGGCATATTACGTCGGGATGTTATTGTCTTGCAATTTCACTTTTACTACTTCCAGACAGTCCACCACAGGTACATTTGTGAAAAGTGATTCCACGTCGAAACTAACCATCAATTGATTGTCTTCCACCTTGTTTTGGTGTAAGGTTTCTACGAAGTGGCGGGAATCTTTTACAATCGACGATGTTCGTCCCACTATTGGCTGCAATATTTTTGCTACATGCTTGGCCAGTTCATACGTAGGTGAGTCTATCTGACTCACGATCGGACGTAGCGGCACATTCAGCTTATGTATCTTAGGCAGTCCATATAGTTTTGGAGGCTGGACGTTTATAGGACGTAGCAAATATTTGACGGTATCATCGTCTAGAGCGTAGGCACATTATTTTATAAGTGAGCGGGTGCTTCGATCAGTTCTCACCGTTGGGTTGTAATTCACCTTAATATAAGTGTTGGAATCAGTGAGTAGACTATGAATCTTATTTTCATACTCAGTGATGTCCATTTTGACAGTCGCATTCCCTTTATCAGCTTTGAGTATTATTATGTTATTGTTCTTTCGAAGATCTTGGGACGCAGCTGATACGGAGGAAGTAATGTTCGGTCTTGGTAGCCTCGCATTACGTAACACCACAGCAACATCTTGTCGAAGCGTTTCCACATCGATTGCTGGAATCTTGTTACGCATGACACCTTCTTCAACCGACCAATGACCTCCTCATAGGGAATGCGTCTAGGTGTAATAGCGAAATTCATCCCTTTTTCAAGAACTGACTGTGCAGCGTCTGTTAACTCAATGCTTGACAAATTGATGACTGTTCGAGTTGGTAGTGAGTTCTCGTAGTAGGGGACATGAGACTTTTGTCTTTTTAACAATAACTCGAACTTACGATCTTGTTTCAAAGCACTAAGTTCCCTGGTACGTTGAGATTGTAAGTAGGTAACACGATCGAAAACATCAAAATCACTCGTAGAAAATGTTTCACTGCACTTGAGATGTATTTGGTATAGTTCACACTGACCTTTGTTCAGTCGGTACCTGCAATTTCATATCGATTTTCGCAACAGTTTTTTACTCGCATTTCGCAGAACACTTAAATGGAGTCCATACCAAAATGCATTTCACATATGAGATGGAAGAAGACCGAAGTCTGGCATTTCTTGATGTAAAGATTCGGGTGCGGATTGATGGTTCGCTGAGTCATTCCATTCACCGCAAACCCACACACACAGACCGTTATCTCAACGCCTCCTCGCATCACCACCCTAGACATCTAAACTCTGTAGTGACTTCACTGACGAACCGTGCATATGACTTGTGTGACAAGGAACACCTGCACGAAGAGTTGGAGTATAAGGGACAGTTTCCACCCAAACACAAATTAAGGCACCAGACACACAAAGTAGGCAGGCAACCAGTATTTTTGCCATAAATCAAAGGAGTGACAGACAAGATCTCGAACATACTTAATAAGTGCTCACTGAATACTGTCTTCACTCCTTTACAAAAAGTGTCACAGTTTCTACGATCTCCCACAGACAACTTCCCTTTGGAGAAACCTGGTGTATAAAAGATCGACTGCAGCTGTGGTAGTTCGTATATTGGCCAAACGAAGCGGACAGTAGCGTGCCGAATGAAAGAACACATTAAAGCAGTCAGAAACAATGATACGCAAAAATCAGCTATCGCGGAATATTTAATCGATTCGGGTCCTAATCACTGGATTGAGCTCCATAATCCACAAATCATCTCGACAGAACGCTACTACATACCAAGATTGGTCAGGGAAGCGATTGAAATAACCAAACACAAAAATTTCAATCGTGAGGATGGGTTTAAATTGTCAAATGTCTGGAATCCAGTGGTTCGTATGTGCAAAAACCGCAAAAATTAAAAAAGGTGACGTTCTGCGATCTGATACTGTGAGTATTGTGTGTCGGAAACAAGTGCGAGTGAATAGTGAGAATGTGACCAATGGTAGGGGTATCGAGAGCAGTAAAAGATGACGTCAGAGGGTAGACCGATATGTCTGCCAATAACATCTAACCGCAATTACTTCTGTTACTCCGTGATCATGGCGCTTGCAACAGTGCCGAAATATCGGAGACTCATAAAAAACAAGGTACATGGTAACAATCCCGTTAATAGCTATAATGTTAGTGACCATGAAAGTTTAAAACAATAAAAACATTAATGTCATGAACAAGCTAATTAACTTAAAAAAAAAATAGAAATAATATTATTTAGACTCATAATTATAATGACAGCACCATTTTTTGGCTGGTTATTTAGAACTTATAAACAAAAATAGCTTCTAGTAAACTAAACAAAAAATCAACATGAAAGAAAACGTCATACCTACCTGAACTTTTAGATGCTTCAGATTCGGATTCTTCTTGGGTCCCGCATTTAGTAATACCTATTGATTTTATGTACATGTGCTAAATGTCTCCCCAACCCGCTAGTATTTAAACCTTTGCAAGCAATGGTTTTTGGGCACTTTAGTCACTGAGCATTTGCAGATTCCTTATGTTTTTTGAATATTTCCATACTTTTGATGTTTCCATCTTTACTGTTATAGTGACGTTTCGGTAAAATCTATAACAAACTCAAATTAATAATAAGCCTTTGGAGTAATATGTGATACACACACAACACAACGGGCAATATTCGTCTCACAAATTTAAAATGACACATTAATTAATTGCAAATTACTTACATAAGAAAAACATATCAGAATAATTAAAAACTAAGCTTGTGTGTTGTTGTTTTACAAAAAAAGGATATATAATAAGACTAAGTAGTATAATAAATGTATCGTTAGTTATTTTATGTATTAAAATTTGACTAAAAACTAATAGAAAACAACAGATAGGTACTCGTACCTAGTAAAATTAAGGATCATATTTAGATTATATTATTGATAAAATTAATATGGATAATAAAGCCATGACGTGTCAAAAGAAATGAAAAGACTTACCTGTGTGATTTCAATTTATCACGTAATCTGTGAAACACTCACTATGTAAACTATACTTGGCTAGAGTCAAAACACGAATGAATGAACGTGTGTAAAAACGACGCCACAGAGCGCTTGCAGCGAGATCAAAGGGTGCCGCTGCGCTTTTGCCCTCGTCGCCACGCAACACAACAAACGGCGATTTAATTTCTATATAGGTACATGATTTCTCGAGTTCTCGAGCTTGATTTCCCGGGAACAAAGCCCAACGATTTAGGGTTCATTCCCCAATAAACCCTAAATGTTACACATCATACGCGACTACTGTAATACCCCTTCCACACAACACAATTTGATTGCCAATCTGATTGCCGATTGAATTGGGTACAATCTGGTCGTCCGTCTACACATACACAACTAGATCGCCAATTTCAGTTTTATTTGTTGCCTCTGCTGAACGGACTTGTTTGTATTAGGATGCCTCTTACCAAGAAGCAAAAAATTGGATTAATCTTGGCTCTAACTACAAATGTAGATGAGAAAAAAAGAAAAAGAAGACTGTGGACAAAACAATGGTTATTAAAAAGAAATCAATTGAGGACTTAAATGTAGTTATATTATATTTAAGTGACTCAATTAATAAACTTAAATATAGTTATACTTAAAGAGTAATAATTTTAAAGAAAATGTTTAATACTTGTAAAAGTATTCATTTGACATTGTGGGTTACCTATAATGCGAAGAGATGGCGCTGCCTTGCAACTTAAGAATGGCTGGAAGAATTTCGACGCGGTCCGTGAGGGCCGCCGTAGCATAATTGGTCAGTGCATTCGCCCAGATTGCGAAGGGTGCGGGTTCGAGTCCCGTCTGCTGCCTGGTCCGCGTGGATTTTTTTCTAGTTATAGGTATTTTCATTAGATTTAAACATCAAGCAGTTACATGCTTTAAAAATAATAAAAATTATAACAGTAATATTTTTATCAATATTTTTCCACTTATTCCGCAAAATCTCTAAGGAATTATGCCTTGCTTGTTTATTTTTATATAATGGGTTAGACACATCCCAAAGGCATGGCAAGTCTTAACATATATCTAAAATCTCCTCCATTACTTCCCGTTCAGATCGAATAGACATAATATTGTTGTCATGTTGCTCCATCTTCTCAAAAGACAAGTCAACGCACACACCCGCTCTGAACGCCGCTTGCACAGTGACTACGTTAAAAAATTGGCCAATTAGCGTCCACACCACCCAATTTGATTGGGCAATCCCGAATCGGGCGTACCGACCATCCAATGACCTTCAATTTCATATTTCCGTCCACACAACACAATTCGATTGTCAATCTAATCAAATTGGACGTAAAATTGTATCGTGTGGAAGCTATTTAAGGCTCACTCATTTTTTTTTGTGGCTCAGAGCCTGTGCTAATAATGCGACTTACGTGCGCGATTCACGTGCGTTTTATCGTTCATAGTTCATGTTCTGAATGGATTATTCTTACTCAGCCTTATGATCGTGCAATGAAGTGAGAAACGCGTGTGAATCGCGTTATCTGGACAAACACTTTGAGAGTGGATACGTAAACGTCTGAACAATTTTTAAATTACTATTTTGCTGTATATGTGCCCGAAACAAGTTGAATTGTTTTTAGTACAAATTAATTAATAGTTATACAGGGTGAAATAGTGTATAGAG